TGTGCTTGTGCGCTTGTGCTCGTGTTTGCGCACGTGTTTGTGTTCGTGATTGTGTTCGTGTTGGTTCGTGTGTGTGTGTGTGTGTGTGCGCGTTTGTGTGTGCGTGCGCACGTACGTGCGTGAGCGCGCGCGGGCGCTCGTGTGTTTGCGTGCGTTTGTGCTTGCATTCGTGCTATTGTTGGTTTTGGTGTTGGTCGGTGTTGGTGCTGGTGTGGGTGCGACGGTGTTTGTGGGTGCGCGTTGGTGTGTGTGTGTGTGTGTGCGCGTGCGCGTGCGCGTGCGTGTGCGTCTGCACTTCACGGCTTTGGCGTCGGCACGCCAGTCTCTTGGACCAAGACCATCAAATTCAATGTCAAAGTTGAACTCCGCCTATCTCCACCTCTTGCTTTCATACTCTCTATGCAGCCGCAGGCATGGTCTTCACTGGTCTTCTTTGTGAGGCGAAACGGTGGATGCTCACTCGACCTGCCTCACTGACTCCTCAATATGATGCATCTCCATTGTTAAGCTTTGACTCACCTTTTGACCTTTTGTGCTCCGCTGCAAAGCTGAAGCATTTGTCAACGGCTCGCCAATGGAAAAAGGCGAGCTTCGTAGCTGCATTTGAGTGCTGCTGATGCTACGGTGTTAAAGGACGCGTGCTGTTGATGCCAGTGCCGATGCACTCGTACTGCGCGGTCCATCCAGCTATGAATGTGCCTTTATGCCGGGCGCTGGAGAATGGTGGCGCCTTCTTCCACACAGGATCCGTGCTCAGAATGCAGCGGATCGGCACACGGCCAGCTGGCTTTGCCGGAGTCCGGCAAGCCGAGGGATCCCATCACGGGCATTTGAATGTCTCTGCTGCGTGCCCAATGTGCCTGGTTTGTCCCGTGCAGGTGATTTTACAACACCAAGGCCCATTAAGTATCACCTTTCCTCTGCATCATATGCCGCGCCAGAAGCGGAAAGCCACCGCAGCTCCTCTCGTCTACTCTACCATTTTTATGCCACTCCATAATCATGCAAATTTTCCATGTAGAGAACGTGAGTCAACATTAAGGGGAAAGAGAAACAGAGACAGAGACAGAGAGGCAGAGAGAGAAACAGAGAGACAGCGAGAGAGAGAGAGAGGGAAGCATGAGAGGGGAGAGAGGGTGAGGGGGGGGGGGGGGAGAAAGAGGGGGTCAGAGTCCTGCGCCAGCCAGCTGGGCCACACGCAGGTCTGCCCTGGTCGCAATGCCACCCATAGCCCGGCCATAATTTCTGATCAGAAGGACCTACAGGGGTCACGACCTACAAGGGTCAATCCTGCTTACTTCAATCTGGTTGATATGGGAAGTATCCTAAGTCCTCCCATGTCCCTTTTTGACCTTCAAGCCGGAGCAACTGCAGAGGTTCAGCCACTTGCCTGTGCAAACCCTGCAGCCGCAGATGCTGCCAGACTTCCGAAGTATCCTGTGCGCTCCACGAACGTCATGTCGCTCCAGTCTTGCCCTCGGCTGACAAACACAACCCTTGCCAAGCACACGCAGGGCAAACAATGATTTCAGCATGGATCAAGCTAAGCCAGAGAAAATTCCCAGAATCTTGGCTACACATGTGGCTCATGTTGCAGAGTGCATCACTGCAGTTCAAGTTTCGAGCATTTGCACCATCCAGAAGAGCTTGCAAATACGTTCGGTCGTCATCGGATAATGATGTGGAGCCTGTGTGTTCAGGGGCTAAGAGAACTCCTTCTTCATGCCCTGCTCATGGTTGAGCAACTCACTCACATGTCAATGCCACCGCAGTGCCACAGTGCCGGCACACTTCGTTCTGTCTGTATCTGGAAGTCCTAATCTTCATCTCTCGGCTTCAATCACAAAGTGTCATGATGTTCTGAAGGGTCATTAATCGAGAGTACGGCATCAACTGCACCGTCAACAACGCCCGTGAGCCTTGATTTGCTACACAAGCATTTCCGACCTTGAAGCTGTCAGGCACCCCAAACACTCCGCACCCAAAAAACCCTAGACCAACCCTTAAACCCGAACCCACGCGACAGCCGCAGCCTTCGAGGAAAGACTCCAAGCGCGCGCCGTGCAGTTGCAGGTTGCTGCGGCACATCGGACACTTTGGATCTGAGGCCGTCTGGATCCTCATGCAAAAAAAAGGCAGGACAAGAGGTGGGCTTTGGAAAAAAAACACGGTTCTAGTTGGGATGTTCCCCCCGTATACTTACAATCCTTAACCGGGGTAGTACCGCCTATTAAATCCCTATCCAGGACTGTTAGTACAAGGGGGTTCATTCGCAGCATACGGAGTCAGTTGCACTGGCATCACTGTACATGCTGCAACAGGCACGGGCAAGCTATCAGTAGATTAGTCATCGCTGTCGCTGGTATCCGAGCAGCTGAGAGCGACTGCACAGTGACTGCGTGGCTGATTTATTCGACGCTTAAGAAGAGTCGCAACGTATTTGGACCAACTCACCACTTCTGCCCCTCGTGACTCGAACTGGAGAGAAGCAAGAATCACCAAGGCCACCTGCTACACGCAGCACCCCTCCGACATCCATTAACCTATCACTGGCCAAGCTTCCACTGACGCAGGCAGTCTGCATGAAAATAATGGTGCAGCCGATGGTGACCGCCCGTGGCGCCATGGCACCGCATAACTGCATCTTCAGCAGCGATCGCTTCCAAACAGATTGGACAGCTGTCACACTCTTCAAGTCTCAGCTCCATCGCCATTCTGCCGATCTCTTGTGCAACTGATTCTGCCTCTTCTTCTGTAGAAACTGACAGATGGTTGCAGTTCCGTGAGCTCTGCGCCACATGCTTCAAGAGCGCCGCGAGACCATAGGGGCTTTGCTCAATTGCTGACACAGCAATTGCCTGTGCTCGCAGTGCTTGGTAAGCTGCCGGACTGGTCACTGCACTCTTGTCACTCGTTTCGAGTTTGTCCCAACTGCACCGGACAGCTTCCTCTGCATGTTCCCGTCGCTCCATGGACATTACCGCGACACCGCAGCCTTTGACAAATGGACTTTGAAACACAATCTGGATCTCAGCCGTGCTCCATATATGACCGCGGCACTCATAGACCCCTACTGGGCAACCTGCCACAGGCTCAGTCAATGCCTCTGTGTCAAAGCTCAGCTCGGGCACGTCGTTGAGGGCCCCTGGATCATGAAGCTCGAGGATCTCTTCTGTGAAGATGAAATCTGCCGGAGATGCACAGTGCTTGTGCTGGCTCTCGCCAGAAGGCTGCTCCATCACGCACCATAGCTGAACTACGTACCAGCTGAGGAAAGCAGATGAAGGAGTGAGGAAGTGGGCTTAAGACAGGACATATCGAGAATCGAGAACACTGGGGTGTCTGGCTGCAGCTCGACACTCTCTGTAAGGCTGCCTATACTATAAGCATTCTCGATAGAGCGCGGCGGGTAGCTGCTTCCCTTCTCCTGCAAATGCCATCTTGCTGCTGGGCTGCTGCTAGGCTCATCTCCGGACGTAGTTCTGCAGTGCTTCTCTTTTTTCTTAACGTGCCAGGCTACGGTTGTGGGGAACAACCCTGGCAGACAATGTACTATGAAACGATTCAATTCCGCAGCAATTCTGCCCAAAAGTTGCACACGCTCGCAGCGTCTACAGGACACGTGCTTCCAAGCATGCATCACATGAGGCACCAGCTCGGAATTCTATGGGTGTTAAGAACCGGACCCTTTCTGACCCGAACGAGAGTTCCATGGCGCCAAATCTTGCATGCTTGCCAGGTGTCTTGTAAAAGAATTGGGGAGGCGAGACGGCGAATTCGGGGCATGTGGCGCGGGTGGAAAGGCAGAGTGCGTGACCGATGCCCATACCAAAACCCAACGGGCTTGCGGTGGCTAAGAGCTACGTACATGGTTTCCGCAATTCGGGGTACGTTTTTGGGGTCCTTATTATAGGGGGAGGATCCCCGATTTCCGTAAACCCCCATATTGCGGGCTTCCCACTGCGCCACCACCGACAGTCCCGTCCAGTGAGACGTTGCCTGGCTCAGCCGCTGTCCATCATGCTGATCGACTTATCCTGCATCGTGACTTTACAGAATCTCCATGTAACTTCGTGGGCCCGGACGGATTCAGCCAGCGTGTCCTGGAAACTCGCCATGTCTGCCTTTAATGCTGGGTCGATGAGGACCTTGTCACGGAAAACATCCTCTGGGCAACGCGCTACGCTCTTGTGTCCGAAGCCCACAAACTTCCAGAGGCATCCCGGCATCCCCACACTATGCGAATTTGTTGGATGGGGCTTGGGAAAAATTGAACAGGCAAGAAGAGTTGTGCTTTATGGCTCGGTGGAGCTTTTTCGAGGTGCTTCTGTCCCAGTTGGGGCCTCTGATCCTGTCCCTAATGAACCCCTCCCCCCCCTCTAGGCGAAGCTAAGTGCAGGATCCCTTGGGCACGGGGCATGAAGGATGAAGATGCCCTTGGACTTGAACGCTTCGTCCATGGCACCTGCATATGCGGGGTTGATCGAAAAGCAGGCTTAGGGTATCAAAAGAATGGCCTGTATCTTGGATCAACCTCCCGAACTTTCAACTCTCAACCCTGTTCCTCAAACCTGTTCTGGTCGCTTTTGATAGCATCCACTGAATCCACTGCTTCTTCTCGGGCAGCTTGAGGGCAGAAGCCCACGAAGCCCACGAGGCCACAAGGCAAGTTTGAGCAATGCCCGCGCCGAGCATCGATGCTCTGAGCCCTTGCAATGTATAGTCGCCCGCTTCTCTTTGATTCTAGCGCACGAACGCCTTTGCTTTGCCTGTGTCACCTCGTTTGTGCAGCAAGTGAACATGCACAAAATGCTGTGATTGCCAAAGAGCTCTGCGAGCGCAGTTGACAGTGGGCCGAGACAGGTGTTGTCACAGACTCCATCGCGGCCCAGCAAAACGTTCTTGATTCGCAAAAACACCGCCCGGGCCTGTTACAAGCTCTCTGTTTTAGGCCTGCACCCAATCATTCCAACCAGACGCGTAATGACTCTGAGAAGCTCAGCCTGGAAGATCTTCAGCAGCAGCCACCTTGCAGGCAATGCTCTCCCCAAACTCAGAAAAGATTGTTCCCCTGGCCCTTCGGCCTTTACACCGTTGCCGCCGTACGCCTTGCTAATGGCGGCAAAGTCGGGCGATGGGCCAAGCTCACAACCCAGTGCCTCAGCCGACAGTACAACTCTGTAACAGCTGTGCAGGAAGCATCCGAGACGAGGAAGCGGAAACTGGGGTGCCAGGCCCCTTCAAATCCGAAGGCCACACGGCCAAGTTTCGAATTGTCGAGGATGATGATGATGAGACTGTGGTCCTGGTGGTGAGGCTTGGTCATACAATAACGGTGTTCTGTTCCTCGTCGACTTTCTTTGCTTGCTCGAGTTGGAATGTCCTCTGCTTGTTTCGTGCGATAAAAAGAGCACCAGTGCTTCAGAGTGCTGTGCAAGCGTCGCGGCTGTTCAGACAACTGTTGTGCAGACTTGCTACATCGGGCTCTTCGTTGTTTAGCGAGTTGCCGCAACCGTCCTCATCCAAGTTGGCATAGAGATGCTGGGCCGTTCCTAGCTCGTTGATGGTCATCTGCACACCACCGTCCCCGACAACGACAACTGCACGCCCGTCACCTGCTCGGACCAAACTGGCGACGATGCCCGCGCAAAGGCCGTAGCCCATGGTCCCCAAGCGTTCCGAGGACAGAGTTCTTTGCCCTTTGGTGAGGCAGGCGGACAGGCTGGCCCATAGGGTCACGTCACCGACATCCACGCAAAGAACGTCGTTGGCCGCCATGCGGTGGGACATCTCCTGGCATGCTCCAGGTCTTGCTTTAGAGTCTACAAGGCATAACACAAACTGTGGCCCCCCCCGCCGTCTCGAGATCCTGGAGGTTCCCCGCCCAGCTCTCAACCCCCTCAACCCCCTCACTCCTTCATGACAGTTTCCGGGTGGGCAAGGCTTTCTGCGCACTGGCTTGTGCACAAGTAGCGGGATGATTGTGCATGCGTGATCTTCCACTTCCCACCGTGGATGTCAGACCTGCATCATGTGGATTGGCCAGGCTCATGGATCAACCACTAGACACCGTGAAGCGCACGCTAGGAGCCCCAACAAGGCCAAGAGGACACAATCTAATTAAAAGGGTGAAAAAAAACCCAAATTTATTACGATTCTAAGGGGTAATTGAATTGTTACCTTAATGCATATACCATTCATGCCAAGAGGCCATATCTTCTTGGCGTCTTCCTGAAGTTCCAGCTTCGCAGCCCGGGGCGACGGTGCCAAGTGAAGGTTGGCAGCATCCAGTGGCGTCACAACGTCCATGCCACTGAAAGCCAGCTCCCTCGCCAGGGTTGCTGCTCTTCTTTGGGCTTGATGCGTAGAGGCTTAGAGTTAGCGCTTCTTCATGCGAACCCAGTACCAATATGAAATGCTGTGGTCGCCCCCCCCCCCCCCCCCCCTGCCTATGCCAACGATCCATGAAGCTTGGGTTCTGGATGATGGGGTCTTTCTCCTGTGGCCCAAGCTCCTGAAGCAACCTCCGGAGCGTAAACTTGATTTCCCCCACCACATCGTACAAGGCCCTGTACCTTGCGTTGATCCGCAAGCACATGGCATCGGGCTCAAAGGTGATCATGGGCCGTATCTGCAAGCCTGCCCGGTTGCAAAGCAAGAGCGTGTCGTCGTGATTTCCGATGGAGATGATCAGTTGGGAAGTCTCTATGACTTTGGTCGCAAGCTCAAGTCCAGATTTCCCATGCACGCCAATAACACCAAATACGAGGCCATGGGCCTCGTTCACGCATCCTTTGGCATCAAGCCGTGTCAGCACAGGAGCATTGATGCGTTCAGCTAACTTTAGGATCTCCTCCCCGGCACCGACGGCCCGGTGGCCCACAGCGATGACGACCCGGCCACTTCCGCGACCTGAAGCTGCGCGGAGCTCGGAAGCCACGTTCTTGATAACGAAGGAATGGGTCTCCGGCAGCTCAACTTCAGCCCTGACATCTGCTGCACAGAAGGGCTTCAGAGGTACCGGACATTGGGCAGCCTGGACGTCCACGGGAAGGCCTAAGTGAACAACAGTTCGAAGCGAGAGGGCCTTGGCCACAGCATCTCGCAACAGCGGTACCAAGGCGTCTGGGCTCGAAACATCAAGGCTCATGGGCAACCCACCGGCGGCGAACATACGACTCTGCTGCAGGTCTTGAAATTCGCTATACCCAATGCCGCCTCTTGGCTTGAGGCCGGTGATTGCAATCATGGAGCACTGATCTTGCAGGGCATCTAAGAGGCCCGTCGTCAAGTTGGAAGCTCCTGGCCCTGATGTAGCAACGCACACCCCCATGTTCCCCGTCAGCTTGGCATACGCAGCGGCCATCAGCGAGGCGTTGGCCTCGTTGCGGGTGCAAACCCATCGCACCTTTGGGTTGTTCACGATGGCGTTCACAAGGGGCACCAAAGCACCTCCGTGTCCTCCGAAGACGTGTGTCACGCCCGCGTCCTCATGCAGATCAAGAGCACAGAAATGCGCTTCAAGGCCGACTTCTTGGAGGCAAGTTGCAACTAGCGCGTTGACCACCCACTCGGAGCCTTTGAACGGCAGAAGACCGGCTTTAAACTGGCTCTAAGTTGGATCTCTAGCAGTGACGCATCAAAACGTGTAGCTCATTAACGACACTTGCACCGGCCGGTTTGGTGGTCATAGCGTTTTGTCACACACTGCCAACTTCCCATTGAAAGTTGGCTCCTGAATTCGTAGAACCCCTGCGCTAAACATGCCGCATCCAGTCTGCATGCGAGCGGCAGTTGCAAAGGCTTGGAGGGTGCGCGATTGGTGCAGGCACGGAATCTGCTGGTAGGACAGGATGCTCTTCCATGCTTTCGTTGATGAGCCACAGCTCCTCAAGCTCAGGGCGCGGAATTCAACTTTCCACCGCTCTCAGCTGCCCATCGTTGCTGGGATCCAAGCGCAGTATCTAACTGAATGCAGAGATATGCAGAGGCAAGTCTCCAGATTGAAGCTCGCCACGATGCTGGATGAGTCGAGATGGTATACCTCTTTCACATCCTGCAAAACCACGAACCCCGCTTGACTCAAAGACCACTCTGCAGTACCACCGCCATGGGTTGCATCCGGGCATGCAAACCTCTTTCAGGAAACGTGCTGAACACCACTGCTATAGTTAGAAGCTTTGAACCCTGCACCCTGGTTGTCATAGTTCATCAGTTTATCCCCGGGAGACCTGATCCCTGGTGGCACCAGTCCTGAGGCCGCACTTCCTGAGGTGTCTTCGCTTTGCAGCTGCGCCGAAGCGTTACCAAATGCGCGTGCAGGGTGAGGGTCTCGGCCGCTCCTGGAGAGATGTTGCAAGGCTCCCCCCAACAAAACGGTGCTTGAAACATGCTCGCAACTCGCTCAACCTGCTCCAGCAGATCCCGAAGCTCCCTTGTACAAGACCTGCAACTCAAGAGATCAGGCTGTAGAGCGTGCCGGGAGCATGGCATGAAAGTTGGCTACTGCTAGTGTCGGATCCAGACCTTCTCCAGCCCCGTGATGCCCTTCTTCTCGACGGCATCCATGTCGCCAACGAAGCCCACAACAACGCAGTTGACGTTGTGCTCTACCTGAAAAACTTGAAATTGCTTCGGAACTCCTTTTCCGTTAATCATGCATAGCAACCTCAACCTGAAGCCCTCGACTCCAAATGGAGGCAGCAACCTACCTGGCTGTGTTCTGGCCCAATACAAGTGCAGCCAGTTGCATGCATGTATGCATTAGCGCCAAGGGGCATGGGGCGCAAAAGGGTAGTACTTGTCCTTCGAGGCGAAGATGTTCTCCTGCTCTGTGGACGACAGGGCGATGGCTGTTCCTGCCACAACACGCAACATCTTTAGCTGACAGGAAGCTGGCAGAACTGCATAAGCGTGAAGAAATGTGAAAAATACCTGCAGTGGCCGCCATGTCTCCCGCCTAGCAGCCTTTCAAAGGTGACCATGCCACCAAACGCCGCAGCAGGTGCTCCACTGCGGTTCTCGATCTTACGGTGCAGCAGCATGCTGGAGCATTACTGTTGTAACTGGCTGCTGTTAACTCCCGGTGCTAATCTCAGACTTTCACGTTGGAGAACATATCGTTGATGGCAGAAGTCCATGTCATACCTTCCGGCATCAACAGATGGTAGTCTTAGTACCAGAGAGAAAGCGAGGGATGAGAGCCAAAATGCCCCTCCCTGCAAGAACGGCTACGAATGCTCGCCATCGCGCCCTGCAAGGACCCCAAACCCTAAACCCTGAACCCTGAACCCTGAACCCTGAAGCCTGGCCTCCGACCAATGTCGTCGCAACCAGATCAGGGGTGGCATTTGGAGGTCCTCAGCACGCTCATCTGGGCTGGCTCTTAGGTAGGGAATGAGGGAATGAGGTACCCCATACACTCCCTTAAAGCGGTAGTATTTAGGGTTCTAATTCCCTCATTCCCTACTAAGAACCAGGGGCCCTTCTGGGTGCAACAAAGTGCTCACGATGGAGCTCGCATCAAAGCAACCGAGACTGCATGTTGGCAGCCAGGTGTCCCACAAGACCTGCTGCGTCACAACGCATGTAGGGGCCGTAGACGGTCTTGTAGAACTCTGAACCTGGTGGCCACACAGTTGGCGCCCCTGATAGTGGCGCACTCACGAAGCCCTAAATATGGTTCAGCCGGGCGCTTCCCGTGCGCGTGGATCTCACGTAGGCAGTGCCGTTGAAGGCCTTAAAACAGAATACAGGGCTGGAATCAGTACACAGGTATGGTGTGCTATTTCCCTAAACCCTAAACCCTAAACCCTACACCCTAAACCCTAAACCCTACAGTAAACCCTAAAATCAGACGAGGAAGTGGCAGGAAATCGCCTGGAACAGCCGAGGCACAACCATTTCACCGTGTCCGGCCTCATCTCCTGGTGGCGCCGTCGTGCCTCTCCATCATCTGCTGATTGCTTAAGAACCCCGAAAAAAAAACAAATATTCTTCCACAGTCTACTAATTGCTTAAGAACCCCGAAAAAACCCAAACATTCTTCCTTATTAAGGGCAATATAGGGATTGTTGTTTTTGATTCTTTTGGGGCGACTTCAGCAAATAGTAACCGAGGGTTGGAGAATGCAGGATGGTGGGTGGTGCTGGGGTAGAGGGGTATGGCTGACCGACGGCCCCGCCAGCTTCAAAAGCGTATCGGATACCCGAAACATCGATGATCTGCTTGACCTGGCGCGGCATTGCAAGCTTGGAGGCAACTTGACATAGCCCAATGCTTTGCATGCTTTGGTGCTGCACATCATTCCTCCTACCAAGTGCAATGCCTTCTCAGGGTCAGGATTTCCCTCAATGACCCACTGGACGTCACCTGAAGTTAGGGGCCAAACTCGGTACATGTACAAAGAATGGGGAAACTCCGCCACGTCATCTGCCAGCTTCAGTTGTAGGAGTACCAAAGGGCGAAACTTCGCAAGATCATAGGGTGTTGCCTGACTTCGCGCCCCGTTTGACATTCCAGCAGCCAAGGCTCCGTACCACGTGACTTTGCCCCCAATCTCCTCGCCGTCCCCTGCGCGGCCCATCAAGCTATGCCAAAGTGTTACCACGCTTTACCATGGCGCCCCATCATCTAAGCTATTTTCTTGCTTTGCGCTCACTGAGCAAGCCTGAAGGTCTCGGCACAGAATAATGAATGGTGTCGCAGTCCAGGCCGCCATCTTTACAGGAGCGGCGGAAATCCTTGGCGAAGCAGGGGCAAAGGCACAGGATTATCGCTTCTGTCCGCGCAGGGGCATTGCCTCGACGCAACTACTCGCACAGACTCTCAACAGCCCGGAACCGCAATGATACCAAAAGCCGTTGTTTCCGGCCGCTCCCAAGTTTCTGCTAAATAGCCACCGGAAGCTGGTTCCAGGGATCCCAGCTTGGGGACCTGCACGTATTCACAGCATCGCGCAGCATTGCCTAGAACTGTGAGGCCCACCTGGTTGGGTTTTTGAAGTTCGCACGAAAGTCGACACCCGCATCGTGTCACGTGTACCATGATGCCCTACGCATCTCACGCACGCCTGCGTTGCGCAGCATATGTTGGAGCCTTTGCGTTGCAGGTCCGGCTTCACGCCAGCCATCGCAGGCAGGGGGTTTACACTGGACAGTGCTTTCTCTCAAAAGGGGGTGACTTCACCTTCGCGGGGGGTCAAGGTCAGCAAGCTACTGGAACATGTCGGAACTGGCAAGCTGCTATGCGTGAGGGGCCATGGAACTTGTGATCCACAAATGGCTATGAGTCATGCTCTTGAAGCGAACTCGCAAGCATGGCACGCATTCAGGCCAGTGATCAGTTCTCGGATGTGCTAGGTGAAAGCTTGCGAGGGCATTTGGACTGCCAACGACTGCGAGTCCACAGCGTCCTCTCTTCGGTAGCTGCGCAAGCACACTCAAATTCTGTGCCACATGCCTGTCAAAGGGCAACTAGTGGTCGGAAGCGACTGGCCGGATGCCGATCAGGAAAACACGCAGGTTTAATGCAAAGAATACGAGGCACACAGAGAACGTCACAACAAGCACTCCACATGAGGACATCTGAAATGTCTAGATCTTGCATGCTCTCGTCGTAACTGTAACTCTCCTGCTGGGGCATTCGCGCCTGGGACTCTCCCACCACCCGTTTGGGCTCATCCAGATCGTATCGAGCTGGCACCGATCCATTGAGTGCCCACAGCTGTGGCAGGGTGCTGACACGTCCTTCGCCAGCTTGCATGAAATCCGAAATATACGCGGCTGTAAAGCCAATGGAACTTGGAACCAAGGAGGGATTGAAATGAAATTGGTGCCGGGGCCAGACTTTCAAATTGCTGTTCTCGGGCTGGGCACCCTATCTGCCGAGCAGCCTCACATGATCCCATCCGTCTTTGTGGCTAGGCAGCGTGCCAAAGCCCATTGTCTATGCGAGTCTATACACTTCAAAATCTGAATTCGGGCTCCCAGATCTTGTGCTGGTATCAAATATCTGCCATCCTTGGTCGCCCCGTTTCTTAGCCAGCTTTCTCAGGGTGCCCTTTTTCGGGATATTTACTACATCAGACAACCTAGAACCCAAAAAAGGGGCAAAAGGGCACCACTGGGATGCCAAGCATCTGAAGCTTTGCATCTGCGACTGTGCTGTATACGCAGCCTTCAGACCGAAGGTGCTCGACCCAGGCCGCTTTCTGAAGGATTGTGCCCTGCAGCAGCAGCTCCTGGGTTGGCGTGCTACTGAACTAAGGTTTAGGGTTTAGGGTTTAGGGTTTAGGGTTTAGGGTTTAGGGTTTAGGGTTTAGGGTTTAGGGTTTAGGGTTTAGGGTTTAGGGTTTACTCGGTTTAGGGTTTAGGGTAAATGTCATGCGAAGTTCGTGTTCCTCAGTTCTTCGGTTGATACGAAACGACGAGAACCTCCCAAAGAGACCTCCGAGGCTCGGACACAACTAATCGGACATCGCAGCCTGCTTCCTTGATTTCTTTGGCTGCTTTTGCAAGGCTGTCACATCCATCTATGTCTATGCGGGTGACATGCTCCAGGGAGATGATGATCTTCGTTGGCTTCTTGACGAGCAACGCTTGCAAGCGTGAAAGGTGCTTGCTCGCACACAGGAAGGTCACAGACCCCATGGGCTCGTAGATCACCGCTCCTTGGAAGGTCTCATGTTTGTGCAAGGCATTGCTGCTCTTCTCCGGGGATTTGCCACAGGCAAAGGACTCGACCAGCTGTCTCAATCGAGTCAGCGGGGAAGGCTTGACTGCCAAATTTGCGCCATCATCGAAACTGGCGGTAGCCCAATGCGACAGGGTGGCATGTTGACGACTCGGCGGTGTGCCAGTGTCACTTACCGCTACCTCAGACTTGTCGAGGGTCACCCGTGATTCTGCTCGTGCAGTTTCGGCTGCATCCCTCAGCAAAGCAACAACCATGCCAACGATGAGGCCGTAAACGGGATCCACAAAGACACAGATTGCGGTTGTGAGAACCAGCAGGAAGCAGCTCCTCTTGTCCGTGCGCCAGAGAGTGGCAATGTAGTGAACGGGGGCCATGCGAATGGAAGCAAAGACCAGCAACGCCGCCACCGCGGCCTGTGGCAAATATGAGAAGACCGGCATGGCCACCTTGGATGGCCCTTAAAGCCCTCTGAAAAAAGATTCCCCCCCAAATATATGTGAGCCTCTTAAACCCAAGAAGGGAAAATGCAAAATGTCCCCAGGGCCTACCTGGCCACCATAAAGATCAGGAAGACTGCAACGGCATTGATGAACTGCGAGAGCCTGTGCGTTGCTCCGAGCTGGACGTTCAAGGACGTCCGCACGAACACGCCCGTGGGCGGCAGTGCCCCAACGGCCCCGCAGACTGCATGGCACACCATCAACCCAAAGGTCTCCCGGCCACTTTCGAAGGGGTAGTTCATTCTCTGCTCGGCAATCTTGGCAGAGATCAAGGTCTCCAAGATAGCCACGAAGGCAATGCCAAAGGCAGTCCGCAGGAGGCCCAGCACATCTCCGGCTGTAAACTCTGCAAGTGGCACAGACGGCACCTCGACAATTCTTGCCTGCAGAGTTCCGTACTTGTCCTTCAAAGTGGGGAGAATGATGCCGAAGAGCATCTCATGGTCCGACAGGTAGCCCAAGAGAATTGTTAACAAAGGGATGAGCACTGTCCATGGAATCGACCTGCCTCGGATCTTCCCGGCATACTTGACAAGGGTCAGAAGCAAGGCGGTGACGACGAAGAAGAGAATCGCCGGAGCCTTTTGCAAGAGCAAAAACCCAACATCAGAAAACTGCCTACGTGCCACAGCCCCATACAGCTCCCCGGTAGGCCCGAGGCCCCAAGCTGCCAAGCGACCAAACTGTAGCCATGGAGAGCTTCAATGGACCGAATCACGTTCTCGTGGAAGTGCTCTGACTTGGGGCCATCAGGACTCAAGTCCAAGGCCATCTCCAGCTGGCCGAGCCCAATGATGAATGCCACTGCAAGGGTAAAGCCCTCGAAGACTGCAGTGGGCATGAGGAGCAAATAGCGTTGCAAACCAAGCAAGTAGATCAAAAAGATGATGGCGGAGGACAGGAGGGAGAGGTACGGCAGAACACCTGCCCCTCCAAACTTAATGGTCGCACTGTTCAGCATTCCACTCAATGCACCCGCCGGTCCGATGATGTTGAAGTCACTGGAGCTGAACATGGATGCACATAAGCCGCCCCAGAACGCGGTTGACACGCCCATTAAAGGGGCTGCAGGGTCACCTCCAGAAACAGAGGCAATGCCCAAGGAAATTGACAAGGGTACACTGACCTCGGATTTGGTTGTCAGTGTCGCGCATTTCTGCTCAACAACCGTCGAAGCAGCACTACAAGAAACGAACTCACCATTCTATGTCTATGGTAGCTTGGTAAGGATGTGGCCATGGCCACTGTCAGCCCAGACTGCCAGTTGTCGATCAGCACTCGGTGCAGCGGCTGGTATCCCAAACGAGTCTTCAAATGGCACTTCTTGCCCCCACCCTCCTGCACGGCGACGTCTCTAGAACTTGTCTAGACTTTCAATGGCTCTTTGAATTCTTGGACATGACACTAGAACCCTTACGTCAGCAGAACGTTAACAGAAGTCATGAGTACATCTTCGCCTCAGCTTCCAGCCGGGAGGCCTCTAGAACAAGCAGTCCCAACCCTTCGAAACCTTGTAGACAAAAATCAGAAGGGGGTGTTGGGGTGTACCGCGGCTTTATGTTCCCCGTTCACCTATGGCGGGTGTAGCAAGGGTTCAAGCGTAATTAGGTTTCAAGGCAGGGCAAGATTGAGGGTCCAGACGTCCCAGGCAGGCGAGGGGGGGGGGGGGGGGGGGGGCAGGTCCCAATCAGTCCCGCGTGCTCCAACCCTGTCCTGCCCACCTCCCCTACTTCCTCGCCCGCCTTTCAACCATCTTTGTTTTCGTTTTTTACCACTTTTCACATTACAGTGGTTTTTGTTGCCACCCGCACTGCACACCCTACACCCTAAACTCTAAACCCTAAACAACTATTATTCGAGGAACTCGATTCAAACAGATTTGTTAGGGGGGCATCTCTCTCAGCACATCATCACCACAACAAATATAAACAGCAGTCGTTTAAGCTTTAGGGGCTTAAATACGAGTTTCATTCAGTACTGGTACATATCGGTCGTGCCTTGCAGGAACTCAACGTATATTGTGCGGTATGGCTCTGTGCCCGCACAACGGCACGGCCACACCAAAACGAATGCAGCAAAACTACACGAGACGGCGGGCCCGAGAAAGTCCCCATAGCTGCGTTTTCCCCGAAGTTTGGGCTTTGAAAATAGGTCAGCAGGGCCACCGCATCCTTCACACGCAATGGCATGCACGAAACAATCTAGTCTAACAGCCATCCACGCACATCCAATGTTTCTAGCTTTTGGTGCAGCTTGGCTTGGCTCGGTGCCTCCGCAACATGAAGAACGACCTGACCATGAGCCATCAAACAAACTACGATCATTCAGCCAATCGCTTCGGCCTAGACGTGGGAAAACAGTCGTTTCCTGAGTTTAGTGGGTCTTTCTGCATGGGCGGAGAGGATTGCTTTCACAAACTAGTGGGTCTTTCTGCATGGGCAGAAAACCCGCACTGCCCTCGCAGCAATGTCATGGGTTTAGTGGGTCGTATGGACAGAAGAAAGTTGGTTTAATGTTTTGATCGCACTAGTGGATCTAGCTAAAGCGGTGAAAATGACATTGTTTCCACAGAACTCGCTTGCGGACGGCCAGCCTGGATGGTGCTGGCCGTCTCCGGTGTCTCCACGGAGTCCAGATCAGGCTGCATTTTGGGGCTGCGTTTTTCTGGGCTGAAACGCTGGCCTGTCAAGAACAAACGGCTGCGGTAGGGTTGTGCTGTGTGCAAGAACCACGAATGGGCAAGCGGGTGCACGGAGGTGCGCATACTGACACAATAGCTGAGCTTCTTTTGCTCACCCGTGGGCATCACAATCTTGTTCTTGCCGGTCTTTGCTTTTTGCGGGGGCCTGGGCTTGCGGCTAGCTTTGGGAGCGTCAGCATTGAGTCGGTTTGGTCCTAAGGCCCCATTCTCCAAGACCTAAACCAAGTAAACCCGGCTCTAAAGTGCAGCCCGGGAACAGGTGGCTGCTTTGGCCGCTTTGGAAAGGGATGACTGTTGGTACGTCTGGCTGGGCGGCTTCTGCAGTGGAAGCTGGGGCCACTGGCGGCGTCGGGCGCGATGCAGGGGCTGGTGCTGGTGAGGTCGTGGCCGTTGCCTTCAAGTCTTTTGCCTTGGGCGGCTGGAGATCGACTCGTCAGACTAGCTGCATGAGATTTCTCAAGCACTCGCCCATGACACGTGTGAATCCAGGAGCGATGTGAGCCCTCAATTTAATTTTTCAGGGGATGCTCAGATGGATTGCTAACCGCTGCTAACCATTGAATCCATTGCCAGATCATGCACATACAGGCAAACGCATATGTCATGCCCAAGTCATGCTGAGGCTCTTTCTCCCAGTGAACCGCAGGAAAACAACAGTCATGCCTTTGCCCCTTCCCCCAATTAGCGCAGCCACCTGGTTGACCAAATCGAGCCTCTCTCTTGGGAATTGTATCTGCAGGACCTAGAAAACCACCATCAACAACACGCACAAACCCAATGAACGCAAGCGTTGTCAGTGGCTGGTTGGAGGCAGTTCGAGCTCGCCACCCACACCCGAAACTCATGGACCGAGCGTTGGTCTTGCCCTCACCGAAAACCGCGTACCGAGCGTCGACCTTCGCAGCCCACAGCTGCCTCACCATTCCCGACAGCCACGTACCGATTGCCCATCTATGAAGCAATTCCGAAGCCCACGGCGGCCGCCCACAGTGAAGGCCACACGCGAGTACCGAGCGTTGCCCTTCGATTCTCGCGGTTGGCCCACTATTTACAGAGAAGGTTTTTCTCGAGCCGGATATGTGGGACGTGCGTAAGCTCCACGTAAGCCCTGCGTACAAGCTCCGCGTGAGCTCCGCGTGAGCTCCGCGTGATCTCCGCGTGAGCTCAGGTGAGCTCCACGTAAGGTGCGTGTAAGGTGAGGCCTCGCTTCATGGTGCACTGTCCAGCATGCCACATCTGGATATTCAAACGACAGAGGCGACGTTGCCGCCACATTGAGAGTGCTTGCAGTGATTAAACGGTGGCTTACGCGCTGATAGATGTTCAGGCCAAGCTCAGAGTGGTTTCTTGTTATTGCTTTGGGGTTTTGCTGGGGTGCCAGCATTCCGGCATTGGGATTCTGCATAGCTTCCCTCAGCCGTGAACCCACACCCATCCTCAACCCAATGCGCCACACAAGCAGCAGTTTTGTTGTTGGAACCAGCGTTAAGTGTTTAGGGGCTGTGCGGAGGCTACCCCAACCCCCAAACCGGGTTGAACCTGTAGGGCTCTGTCTTCGGGGCTAGGGGCGAAGGCGTAAACGCAAGCAGGACAAAGAAGTTTGTATCTTGAGTCTTTCGTTTCTGCGTAGCCCCAAAGAACCGCAGCAATTCAGTATCTTGTTCATTCAGTTGGCATCGAGGAAACCCGACTGATCCGCAGCAATGTCATTTCGGTGTTTTCAGGTGCACGTGTGGAAAATGCGAAGCACCAGCGTGTGTCTGCAAAGCCACGACGCAAGGATCTCAGAAAGCTGGGCACGACTTAAGCAGGTTTCTGTTCCAAGTCCTTTGCAATCTGTGCCGGACCCTCAAGCATGGAAAGCATGAACCAACAGAATAGGTCGGAATAGCCGCAGCAGAAGCCTGAAAGAGCAGAATTCGCACTTTACTCTCACACACACACACCCACATTGCAGTTAAGGTAACGAAACGGAACCACCCCCGCCCCCCACGTCAGACAACCTGTGCGCTTAGCATGTTGTCAGAGGCAACTTGGCATAGATACTGGCAGGCAATAGTCTCGCATGGACTAGATCAGCAGAAAAAAAGCAAAGAGCTGCAGCAGCTGGAATGCGGGGCAGCAGCAACATGGGCAGGAATGCATCAGCTACTAAACAAGCAGAAAAAGATTTTCCCCATGTTCAGTAAAGTTCACTAGTCGTGCGCTTTGTCTGTTGACAGTCCGCAGGCAAGTCGCCGCTGCTTGGCCCGCAGCCTTATTCGGATCCGCAGGCCTCGCTCGCACCATGGACAAGCCCTGTCAACAAAACGCCACAAGAACGGTCACTTGGAGGTTCATGGTACATTCATAAGCCCTTTAAGTGCCCTAATATGGTTATAAGTACAGTTGTAAGTACAGCTATAACTGGTTAATAAGTACCATGAACCTCCAAGTATGGTTATGGAGACTTTGACCATCAGGACCCACCTCGCCTGCTGCTTCCCGCCTTGGGCTTGGGAGGCCGCAGGTTTCATTTCCAAAGCTTGGAGGTTGTGCCCATGGTTTGGGTTGTGTTCAGGCCTTAAGCTTTTGGCATGGTCACTACTACTACGAAGTGTGCCCTTTTTGTCTAGACAACTTCTTGTCTCCGGCATGAAGCATACACATGTGTCTACCATCACCAAAACTTAAGATGAGGATCCTTCGCAGCTGGCTTGGTGGCCTGCACATGCTCCGTATGCTTTGCCTTCGAATCCGCTGGCATCTTCGTAGACGCTCCTTTCTCATCTTTCATGTCTTTGGCTTCTTTGACAGGTGTCGCCTGTTCATCTTTTGCCTCTTGGGTGTCTTTTGTCTCCTTGGCCTTCACCTCTTTTGAATCTTTTGCCTCCTTTGCAGCCATAACTTTGGCATCCTTCGCCTCGTTCGCATCCTTTGCTTCCGTAGCTTTTGCCTCGTGTGCATCCTTTGCCTCCTTTGTAGCTGCCGCCTCTTTTGAGTCTTTTACCTCCTTTGCCCCAGCTGCTTTAGCATCTTTCGCCTCGTTTGCATCTTTTCCCGCGTCCTTTGCCTCCTTCGCAGCCTTCGCCTCCTTTGGGTCCTCTGCCTTCTCAACATCCTTGGCACTCTTGGCATCCTTTGATGTGGCCTGCGGTTCTTTGACGTCTGTGGATGTACTGGCTTTGCTGCTCTCCACCTTGGGAGCTGCTTCTGGCCTGTGACAAGCCAGACAAAGGGGCTCTCTCTGGACTTTTGAGACACTACGAGCTACGGCAACGACCTTCGACCTTCCAGCTCCATGGTATAGAATATGTAGTCTTCTCATCTGGTCAATGTACTAGCATATTGTACGATATGTAACTGCTTTTAGTATACTGTCGTATCATGTTTTCTACATCTATTTACTTTACAAATGGGCTCTGTCTGCTCTCCAGCGTGCACAGGCGGACTTACGAAAGAATGCCAGAATGCAGGCCTCACACCATGCTTTTTTGAATAGAAGCCCACAACTGTCAGTGAGTCATGCGATCCTACACCACCCCCACCTAAGCCCAGGCCCACCTCAAAAGAGGGACATAGCCTGATTTAAGGGTATCTTGGGCCGAGTTTTAGATGGTGCCCCATCGACCTTGGGACATCCTGGGTCAAAGGCAAAAAACTGGGCAAGCAGCTCTAGACCGCTTGGTGCCCACCACCACGAAGACTTGTGCCGGCCTCTGCTCCTCTTTGGACGACTCTTCCGGAGCCTCAGCTCCAACAAATGTAGGGTTTCGGCCTTAGGCTTAGGGAACTCTCCCCCCTCCCAAATCCAAATGGCCCCTTGGCAATTTCGCAAGCACGTTTGGATTTTTTGGGGAGTATTGGGGGCTTCACCCATCAGTGCCCTTGGTTGGACGTTCGCCGATGGCGTTGGCACCCAAACCCACTCGGCCAAAACCCTGCACGTCAAACCCTGTTGATGATTTAGGGGTTCATCATTGGGCTTAGGGTTTAGGGTTTAGGGTTCAGGGTTTAGGGTTTAGGGTTCATTGCCCTCAACCCCAAACCTGCAAACCCTCTTTCAGATCCACCGCCCCTTTTTTCGGAATTCAGATAAAGGTCCTTTGTCACCTTCGACTTCCACACCAGCTTCCCCGCGTCTTTCGACCTCCACTGGTCGCTATATAATGCATTATATGCAACATGGAGTATAAAATATATAGACTATACAATATAGAATATAATACATGCATAGAATAGATCATATATTTCACTTTTCGTGTCATTATATATATATATATGTCAATGTATGCAGAACACTTTTGGTGGCTTAATGAGGAGTGTCTTTGCTGTCTTCTGTGAGGTTTCGATGTGCGGGTTTGGTGCGGCTGCCGGGTTTAGGTTCATCCAACAAACATTTCTAAGCTCTGACAGCTCTCATCTCAGATCGGCCTCCCTTTGCCTTTCTGGACCTCGGTTCACATGGTCATAGACACCTTGCGAACCCGCGAGACACTGACCTTTACCAAGTTCAGCAAATGTTTGCAGGATGGCGTCAGCTCCCTTGCCCGCGGCTGTCGCAGCTGTAGGTGGACTTGATGCCGTCGCAGTTGAATGATCCTCCTCCTTTGGCTGGGTCACGTTCAACTGCTTTCCCTTTGGCGCCTTGGTTGCCACACAGCCCGCAGATTTCGTGCTAACTGCTTTGGTCAGCCAGGAGCAACCCACGTGCTGACTCGCGGCTGCACCTTTCGATCCTTTCGGAGGGCTTTCGCCCTTCCCACCGCCAGATCCAATAGCATTGGCATATTCATGGGCTTCGTGGCTTCTCCTTGGAGCAAGTTTGGCAACTTTGCCCGCGCATGCCACCGCACAGGGCTGACTGGGTTCTTGCAGCAGGCCTGGTCGTCGATGCAGGCGCCTCAGCCAAAGAATGAAAGCCAAAACACGCGCAAGCTTCCCACAAGTTCATGGGCCCCAAGAAGATTTATGCGAGCAAGCAGCCGCAACAGCCGCAACAGCCGTCCCGCTTCCCACCTTTCCGCCTTTGCCATAAGTTACCCAACGCGTTGAAGATGCTGGAGCTTCCCTGCGCGTTGGGCAAAATCTCAAAGGGCGATCTCGGGTTGGACGAAAGGCGAGGCACATGGCATGTCTTTAGGCCGAGTCATGTCATCCTCGATTTGCAATTACGCAAAATCCGTGGTCCCGTGGCTTGCCAAGACAAAACTTGGTTCTCGCTAAGAGAGCCAAGCATGTCTCGCAAACCGCACAATGCTTTCGCTCAGCGCATGCGCCTATCGGCCAGGCGCTCATCCCATTCCACGTTGTGCCAGGGTGCTTCCACGGGCTGCGCTTGCCATATTATACATGCAAGGTTCATTCATCTACAGGAGGTGTCAACACCTCTGTTGGATGCCATGGTCAACATAAGTTGCACACCACACAGCCTGCACCAACTATAAAGCAAGGACATGCTAGGTTCCTGCCCGCCCGACCCCAGCCAACCGCGAACACCAGCAAGCAGCTACGGGGCAAGACCTCCTTGACTTACCAAATTCAGTCCTTCGCGGCCCGCGCCATCCCTTGCCAAACGTTTTATGCGGGTGGGATCTTCCGGCTTCTTGCGAATCGTTCTCCCCATTTTCGCCACTTTCGCCCCACTTGGACACCGCCTCGTGCGTATGCAAGCAGCGCTGGTTTATCGAGCTCCACCTCGGGCTGATGGAAGCTGGTCTTGGAATCGAGCTGGTGGCCGTCGAGTTTAATGACCCACGCCGACCTACTCTGAATCATATTGCAGCCCTTAACCCTGTGCAGGAGGTCATCCTCGAATCTGCGAGCGGCTTCAGGCTGTCCACGGCCATCCTGCAGACACCCCAAATCTTCCAGAATTTTTTTTGCATGCATGGAAGTGGAGGGAGGGGGAGCGAAGGCGCACAGGAATTAAGGCACAAGCTGCTTCGGGCCTAGCGTGTGGACCTGTAGGTTAACACCCCCCTGACTTCTCCTGAATGGACGGGTGTCGTGGATTTTGGCCACTCGCTTCGGCTCTGGAACCCAGGCTTCTTCCTTCTTCTCTGGCACTTCGTCAGCACCACGCCTCTAGCCAGCTTAACGTGGGCTTTAGGGTTCAAAAGGCGGCACCCCCGCGGCAGAAAAGGCTCACTACTGGGGTGGAGCCTCATATGGAGTTCGAGGTTTGAGGGCAGCATGCGCGCAAACAGGCCTGTAGCGGGCGACCACAACGCGATCCTCCGAAAGGCGTACACGAGCAGGCCGATGTGTTCCTGGCTATAAGACTATAAGGGGCATAGCACCCAGACCATTCAAACGAAAAGGGTTTAGTTAGGTTTATAGGGTTCACAGGACTTCAGATCCGTGCTCATTCGTGCTCTCGCCTTGCTGGTTGTCGTAGTCATCGTGATCATTGAGCTTCTTGTGCATTTCTAGCACTGCCTCCAGGGAGCACGCAGCTTTCAATCTCGGCTCAGCCATTGTTGGACGAGGCACCGAGTATTTTCGGAGCACATGCTCTCACACCTATGCATATTCAAGCAAACGAGTGCAGAGACATGTTACTTTGTTTGTATCCAGGCCGTGCTTACTCGGCCCACTCCATTATTCAGATCGTTGGGTCACTGGCATCTGCAGTACCGCCCCTCTCCCCCTACTACAGGGCCTTCTCCTCCCCTCTCATCCCCTCCTCTCCACTCTCGCTCTCCCTCCCCATGAGTAAGTACATCCGTCAGCGCCGCCTCACGGGCACTGTCCGTGGCACGCCGGGCAGCCCGGATGCCTGCAACACTCTCCTGCGCAGGAGCGAACAATGCTCAGAATGGACCCAACGGAGTGAAGTGGATTGACGAGTCTGGCCGCATCTTCCGCGATCCTGTGAGGATATCCAGCGATTCAGCTGAGTGAGCCATTGCGTGTGCCGACGGTGCCGACCCACTCCCGTGGCGGGCCGAGTTCCGATGGCATGTTGGTCGACGCACATCCTGTGTTTAGTTGGTCGCGTCCATTTGCCCTCAGAAGTGGGGAGTGGCCCTCTTTGCGGGGCAGTTGCAGTGCATGTTGTGCCCATGTCTTGGACGTTGGTGCTTTTTGTTCACCCAGCCGTGACGCAGAAGATGTCAAAGGTCCAGAGATGCCCGTCACAAAACCATGTAAAATGAGATCAAATGCCCTGGGATGGATGATGGATGGGCCCCGGGCCTCTGCACCGTTAGCCGGGGCAAGAAGTGGAGCTGGGCCAGTGGTCATGCAGCTGCAGCTCCACAGCCCGTCAGGGTCCGATTTCGCGCGAAGGCTCACATTTGAGGACCAAGATGAGCGCTCTGAGTTTTCTCACTTGAACGCCGCATGGAAAAAATCTGTGTGTTGATGCAAGGCTACGGCGAACGCGTGAACCTGCAAAAGCAGATGGATCCTTCTTTCCGTAGCCAGCATCCAGTACGCCCTGCTGCTCGTGGAATGTATACCTGAGTGTCGATTTAAAAACGCGGCCGGTCCGGCAACCATGTCTCTCAAGATGTGGGGGCTGTCAATCTGAAGGTATTGAAGTGGATGCCCACCCCAGCGCTGTTTCCATGTCTGTTTTTTCCGAAGTTATTCGAACTAAGCTCTGCCATCAACAAGACCATAGAGCATAACTCAGTACAAGTGCAACTTCTGAATTGCAGCCATGTGGCAGCAAAGCTTGAGGGGTCACCTGCCCACTGAAGCAAAGCGGATACAATGTACCCATGTCGTGCGCTGCAACCTGTGCCCGCTATTTTCACAACTGCCAGCCGAGGTGCCATGAAACATGACTAAGCCCTCAACGTTGAACACAAAACCTGCGAGCCCCAGGTCCATACCACAACCGCAACCCGAAATACATAGAGACAAAACCCAACAAAGCATCCCATGAAGAAGTAAAGCCTTATTAGTTACCTGAACCCACACATCCACAACCCCTTCCCAACCTCTGCAGAGGTGGCCCAGTGGGGCCCATGTGCCCGTCCCCAGGTGCGGTCTCCGCGCGCCTTTCTTTGTGACTAAATGGCAAGGAGGGGGGTCGCCCTTTTTGGGGGGGATGAGTTCCTATACTAAGGACTCGTTTTTTTTTTTTTTTTTTTTTTTTTGGGGGGGGGGGGGGGGGGGCTCCTTGGGGGCTCAGGGCTTCAAGTGAGAACGCGCGCGCTCGTTTCCTGACAATTCGGTCTTGCACTTCTTAGCTGCCTGTAAACTTCATGTGGCACTCATCCACACATGGAGTCTCGGGCGATGACAATGGCTTCGATGTGCACCATCTGCTCGTCCCATTCTTTGCCCGGCAGCAGCGTCGCCCTCATGGCTGTCAGCAGCGCATCGGGTGCGCTGACGTGGTTGTTCTCCAGCCCTGTGCCGCAAGCGCAGCAGCGCCAGAATCACACTCTTTTGGCACTCTGAAGGTGCTGTCAAGCTTTGAGTGTGCAACAGTCCCAAGTGCCGGACGTATCCAGCAGCCAGTCCTTACAAGCGTGTCGAAGAAAATCGCTGCGTGAATCTGTCACACCCGGCCCAGAACTTCAACAAGCAATAATATATAAACATAAATATTCTTGCAATACTTAACTAGAATAAACAAAGAATCTGAATACCACTTGTAGACGACGCCTGCGCTCTGCCAAGGCTCCAACGGTGCTTTACTTGAAACGGATAACGGTCATTGGCCACGCATACGGACAGTATCACCGTCGCTGCTCCAAGCTCTGTCATCCTGCAAGTCGGGAATCCGGCCGGAGGAGGTTAAAGACGGTTAAAGCCTCAAGGGTGTGAGAAAGCCTCCGAGGTCGAGGACCTCTGAGCCCATGAGTAGGAAGGCATGGGACGCCCTAGAAAAGAATTGGCAGGAAGAAGGGCAAGCCCGTGGTCCAAAGTGCCGCAAAGCGGAGGAGTCCTGCTGTGGCTCAAATGGAGCTCGGAAATGGCATAGGGCTGTGCCAGGATCAACTCGGCAATCTGCTCGGCCCCCTCATCGCCCAGATCTTAGTGGAGAGGCGCTGGCATTGATTTTTCACAGGTTTGGTTTCAGGGCGCAGTGGTCTGGACTCATGAGCGCAAAGCCTTTAAGTAGAACCACAAAAGAACGACATCGGCGAGCAAAACGACCCCGCGTGCCAACGCAGTCAAAGTTGCCGTTGTTGTAGCAGCGGAGGCTGTGAACACAAACAGGTGGATTTGCCTGCCATGGACAGGATCCAAGGGACGACCAAGCCAACTCCCCCGGAATTGCATCCGCTGCAACACACCCCAACAATCGGAGACCAGGACCTGTCAAATCTGAATGAATGACTTCGGCTTGGGCTTGTCGGAAAAAAGTACCCTGTAATGTGGAGGTCCGACATGGCACCACTTCTTACCCAAACCATCGACCCGCGAGCCTGATAGAGTCGCTTCCTTGGCTGCTTTAGGACTTCGGACTGCGCAGCTAAATCTATGATTTACCACATATGTATACATATATATATATATGTCCATATATAGATATCTGTTGTAAGTGTGTGTGTGTGTGTTTATATACTACACATCATGTATTGTAGCATATCGAACAACATACATGTATACATACATACACAGCTCGCGAGAGACAGGGAGACGGCGGGAGACGTATGTCAGGCCTGAGGTTTTGCAATTGTATGTTGCCGATGTTTGGAGTGCTCCTGTTTGCCGTGAGGGTGGCAGGTACTGCAGTGAAACATAAGACGGCTTTTGCTTCGGGCTACCAGTCGTAGTGTAGTTTGATGATTTTTACTTAGGGTCTCGGGTTGCAGGCGACATGCAGCCAGGCAGCAGGAACGCCACAAGAATCTTGAGGCCCTCGGCCGTGAGTTCCGTGGCGCTCACATCAATATTGAAGTACCAGCCTTCGGAGCGGCAGAGCTGAGGCAGTTCGAAGATCGCTTTGTGGCCAGCTACATTGCCGACACGCTGCTTCACGTGCAGTGAAGATGTGTCACACCAATCCGTTAATCCACTGAAACACATGCGCCACACGGCATGTCACATCTCAGCCGGCTGCACGGGCGATCTGGCTTTTTGGGGTTCTCCAACTGCTTTTTGATTTCCTGAGGACTCCCCGGTCCCGGAGTTGAGGGCTGAATTTTGGGCATCTTCCTAGCATCACAAGGGTCTGACACTGATACATGCGCTAACGCCTTCAACATCAGCGATACGATCAGGCCAGACGAAAAAAACAAGTGAGGTGGACACAGCCGCTTCTTGCAGGGACATGTGTCAGCATAGAGCTCATCTGTAAGAAACTTTGTCATCTTCTTTCCCTGCAGCTTTCGTTGTTGCAGATCCTCGGAATGACTGTCCAAGGTCCAGCCAATTCTCACGGAAGCACAGAAACAAATCGACGCCATCCCCACTGTTGTCCCCTCCTGTGCCGGCAAGGCTCCAACCATAATTCGGCCCCTCGCATAGCAAGGTACGACTGAGCCTTCTCCCTCTGAGCTCCTCGGCAAACAAAGCGGTCGAGATGGGGGGGGGGCACAAAAGCGAGGTCTGCAGTGGTCCAAGCGACGTGACTCAGCTGATTCCGTCTCCTGCCAGTGTGACAAGACGAACTGCGAGAAGTCAGGAAGACATGCTTTATCATGCTTTTTTGCTTAAGGCGCTGCTCCCCTGACTCTACAATCTCTGCAGCCCAGAGCAGTGCCTCAGCAGCTGGCTTCTCTTTTGGAGCAGCTGCTTTCTCCCGTGGAGCTGAAGAGTCTGCATCGGCCTCCCCCTTCGGAGGGATGCGTGGCACCCACGGCATCGAGCGCTAGACTTTCACAGAAGCAATCCTATGCCCCCCCTCCCCTTCGGACTAGAGCAGAAGGCCCGAGACTTGACGAGCATGCTTCGGGAACTGCACTCCGGCTCATCTTCTACAAAGCCCTTTGCATCAACGGCCGCCTCACTACTCACATCTACTCACATTTTCATACTACATACAGGCTGACGGCTGCAGCCTTCAAGCCGAAATTCCATGTGGACAACACTTCAGACTTGACATATGCATCATTCAGAGGGTTTCAGAGGCTAACAAAAAAAGATGCACCTGGGCGTCGGCCGGCAGGACTTTTGCTCACAGGCGTTTCGGCGGTTCTCCGGCACTGGAGATGCTGCTTGTACCCGCGCCTCACCATCGCCGCGGCAGGAAACCTGCACCGGGCTGGCCTTGCGCATACATCCCCCAGTGAAGATCGAGGAGGAGGCCAAGTTCTCAAGGGCGGCTCATCTGCAGAAAGGCTGCAATCTTGCAGTCCTCAAGACATCTCTTCAGGCTCCGTAAAAGCCGATTGTAGAAAGTCCAGGACTTCATCTTCATCCGGCGACGCTTTGAGGTCTAACGCACGAGCCGCGCCACCTTTGACCACATCGTGTGCTTCAGACCTGGGAAGGCCCAGAGAATCACAGAGACTTGGGGCACCGTTTGCGGCCTTCCCCCGGCTGAGGCCTAGCATGTAGCTGATCTAACCAAAAGGGGATGCTTCAACACACCCTTGCAGTAGTGAATTGAAGATGGGTGGAGCATTTTTGTGGGCTTCCTTCCTTATATGTTTGCTGTCGAGTTCACATCGGGAATGGCTAAGTTTGCGGTTTTGGAGGCACGTGGCCGCGCAACCGGACCAAACACAGTGACTGTACTCCAGATATTTGGGAGCTTCAAATATGCTACAACGCAAATCGCTGCAGCTTATTCGACAGCTCCACATGCTGCAAACTGCAGCGTGTCGAGGTCTCGACCGCACCTTGTCCATGCTCGACCGCTTCAAGTGCGCTGTACAAACTTGCTTGCAGGTTCGGGATGTTCGACGGTCCGTCAGCTGAAGAAACAACGTGGATTGATTGCAGCATTTCGTTTTGCTCAACAGCCCCACTGGGGGAAACAACTTTACAGCGCGGGTTGAGACGTCCCGAAAGCGCAGCTCCTCCTTTCGTGCGCAGCTTTCAAGGACTCTCAAGTCAGGGAGCCTATCAAGGCGATCAGTTTAATAGGGTTTGGGTGTTTTGTTGCCGCCTTTTTTGTGCCCGCCTTGCCCGTTTAGGGGCTTAGGCTTCAGCATTTCGAGACGCTTGATGGCTTGACTTTGTCATAGCACGCCCAGGGAGGGAAGGGAAGGCGATTGCAACAAAACTAATCCAGGCATTGCATGTTGACGCAAATTTTTTTAAAACGGCGATCGAGGGTTTTTCGGAGGCAAACCCCTACATGCCAGTGGCGACGGCTCGATCAAAATGCAAGAAACATACATACAGCCGTCTTGGCGGAAAAACCGAGCTCCCCAAACCCCCCCCTTCGGTGAACAAGTAAAGAAAGACCCTCCATTCAAACAGGTGGACAGAACCGGCCAGTCGTCGTCAGTATGCTTCCAGCACCTGCGGTATCAATCGGACATGGGTTGTGGGTTGGGATGAACGTGCACTTAAGCTGAACCTGCTGAACCCTCAACGCTTGTCGCACCCGGCCTGTGTCCGGCACGCAAGGCCGCGCAAATCCCTACAACCCTGAACCCGAAAAGCACAGTCGAAGTTCAGTTGTTGTAGAGATTGGGGCTGGCTCTTCCTGAGCTGCTGAGGTTCCTGCGTGGTTGGTTGACACGGTCTTCTTCTGGCTTTAGCTCTTGTGGCTGGTGGAGGCTCTTGCGCTCTTGCGTGGTTGGCAAGGGGCTTTAACTCTTGCGGCTCATGGAACCACAGTCCAACCACCGAGCCCTGAACTGCCCCGCATGCCTCAAGCACAGGGACGACGGCGGCCAGCGCCGGTCGGTGGCGTTGCACCGGTGCCACGCTGTCACGCGCACGGAGACCGCGTTGTGAAATCGCCAGAAGTACAGAACGACCTGCACACCGGGGCTTTACGTACTTTGCTATACCTTTTACTTGTGCAGCTTCTTTCCTCTACGACTCTACGGTAAGGTAGAGGTCAGAACCAACATCCCAACTCTGACTGGGCAGCGCCTGCTTTCGTGAAGTGAAAGCGAGATCGCGGCCAAAGGAGCCAGCTTCAAAGTTCTTCAGGAAGTGGCGCCTGCAGTAGTGGCACTTGAAAAACTGCTCCAGAAAGCCATACACGGTCCGCATCATCCTGGGCAGTGCACCAAAAGAGCTTTCGGTTCAGATACCCGCATTTGTCCATCTCCTAAATTATTTCTGTGGCTTTCTTGTCAATCTCACTCGCCACTGACATAAAAAGATGTAAAACGCCTCATGACCCAACTCGGAGAAGAGGTTGCCGGTTGCTATCTACAAGAAGAAATGCCCGGCCAACTGAGAAGACTGAGAAGCACATCCGGGGCGGAAGGAGACAGTGTCAATGGGCTCTTTCTGGGCAGCTGCTCCAGCCTCAGCCCTTCAGAGGCCAGGGTATGAAGCAAGCTCCACATTCGGCACGTGTCAGAAGCACAAGCTGAAGGCACCGCGAAGTCTCGCTGGCCCACTTGAGCTATTTGAGTCAGCACTGGGGTTGTCAGTGATTTCCACTCGTCCGCGCAGAGCGAGCTGCCGGCCTCTGTCTGGGAAGCCCGCACTCGCTGCAGTAGGGCACCATGCAATGCCTGCAATGTCTCGGCCAAACCAAAAGCTGCTGGAATATTCCGGGCCAGCAGCTCTATCCAAGGTTCCATGACCAGTAGCTGCTGGTGAGAGAACGCATCTGCATTGCCATCATCTCCAATTGGGGCAATCCACTCCTGCAAGACGTGCCTGAGCATGAGCAGTGCATCAGTCCATCTCTGTCTGGTTGTGAAGTTGTGCTCGGCATCGTGCCAGCCATTGCCAACTTGGTCGCTGGTCGCCTCTGGGAATTCCGGATGTAGGGCTGTCAAGTTCGCACAACCAGAAGCTTGCGAATGCTCACCCTCTGCATCGAACAAAGACGACCAAGATGACTTGGAGAGCACTGATGATGGCAGCTGCTCCAGTAGTAGCTTGAGAACTGGAAACTCTCCAGGAAGGGCGTAGCGTGGTAGCATTTGCCGCAGCTGCGCATCTTTAACTACGTCGACCCAATGCTCGATGGCATCATGCACGGCCCGGTTCGGTCCCAGGTACCGGGCAACCAGCAAAGGGTGGCCGGGCCAATTCTGCGTTGCACACAGCTCGTGCTCGGTGGCACAGTTGACGGCACCAAAGCGCAGAGTGTTGACCCCACGCTGTCGCAAAACGAGTGCCAGGCGGTAAAGAAGGGGCATAAGCTGCTGGCAGTGCGGGCACCAGTGAACAAATACTTTGAAAATCCAAAGCTGTTTGTGAAACACGCCACATTCCTCGGGGCCACTCGGCATCACTCGTTTTCTATGATGTGTGCACTTGTTGGGAACCCACCCCGCCATTTTTGAGGGATAAACGCTTGCCGTCTGCCGACCGATTCTCCCAAGAAGAACACTCTCAACCACAACAACCTAAAAACATCCAATCTCGAAACAAGGTTTACAGACAGAATTCTGCCCAGGTGTCCTCCATTGAATGGAACATATCAGCATCAACATTAATGACGGCCGTGTCAATCAGCAACGGGTTGCTTTCCACCCGGAGTTCCTCAAAGGGGCAGAACTGGGAATATTGGTTGCAAATCCCCGCGTGGCCGTAGAAGCGTGGCGGGTAGCGGCAGAAGAGCGCCCGGGCCTCCTTAGCCTCGGGATGCTGGCATGACTTCTCACCAATCTTGTTAGAAAGGGCTTGGAGCTTCCCATCTTCGAAGAGGCCGCAGTCAGCAGTTCTGCGCGGCTTAGTCTTTGTGCACCTGCTGCCAAGCTCTTCGAAGCGATCAGCCAGATCTGGAGGCTCTTCGCTGAGCTCGTACTCTGGGAGGCCTTCCCTCTCCAGCTCCACAGTGATGGTAACGCCACCACCGACAGAGGAATCCGAAGAGTTGAGCCAAGTGTTGTCCATCACTTCGCTGGGAATTTCCAGCTCACCCCACAAAGATCCCCCACCTTGCTTCACAAGACGGTCCTCCAAAATGGTCTTTTTTTAACCTACTTGACTCGCTTAACTGCAAACCTTTCATCACTAATTATGTGGTCTGGGCGCAGTAAAGCTTTGGAGATTGAATGGGGCTAGCAGGGTTAGGAAGTGTCCGACTTAGGATTGATCAGCGACCCTCGAAAACTTCGCCGCGTGCTGCGCCGCGCGGCGGGCCGCACGCCGCATTTCCAACGCCCGGCCTTTCCAAGGACACTTGCCTGCTTCACGCAACCAGAGTCCATCTGATTTGCGCTGCCACCAGCGGCGGCACGCCAGGGAATGCTGAAGGAGGACCAGACAAAGTATCTCCGACCGAGAAACCAGACGCATCACCTGAATCACCGCAAGTGGACCCTCGCATGCCTTTCTCCTACCAGGCTCGGTCCTGAGCCAAGAAGCGAGCGCACTATGACTGCTTCAGAACTGCAGACAATCAAGTCTCGCAATGCGAGTGACGTTCATGTTGCAGGCCTCCGCATTTTGAAGCCTCACTTCAAGAAACAGGCGTGGTATCGAAACCGAATGAGTCGGATGAACTAGCTCCTTTTGCCTTAGGCAGTGAGCCAATGAATTCCGCATGCACACTTGCACGGATTCTGCGATCGAGGAACCACTCCGCAAACTGTAGCGAGACGGCACCAAGCACTCGGCACAGCATGCAAACACCTACATGTCCTGTGTCTGAGTCTGTATGTACGACAGGGCCCAGGCCTCTACGAGGTTGTCTGGAGAAGACCGCATGCGACCAACACAATTCGGACGCATATCATTCACATGTTTGCTCAGGCACCTTTGCTACTCCTTCATCAATCCATGTGCTACAGTTACAATGACCTTGCGTATTAGACCGCGCCCAACCAGCCTGGATCTAACTTTCGGCACATCTGCCCTGGGAAAATGGGGATGGTGAAACAGGAAGCCGAAAACAGAGTTGCGCCTCATCAATTCGCATTGCCTCCTGTAGCAGAAGGGCGCAGTACAGTGCTTCTTGTGCAATGCTGTCCCTCTAGACTCTAGGTGCTTCTTACATCCAGAAACCCTGCAACTCCCTGAACCCTCATCGGTAAGAAGGCGTGGTGCCATTGTTGATCTGCGCGAAGTTGACCTCGACCATCCACCGCATGAGCCGAAGGAACCCATGGAACTCCAGCCTCTCACCTCAGCACTCCAGGGCTTCGAGGCTTTAGGGCATGTGAGCTCGAGGCCGGTCAAGGGCCCAAACCTCCCAAGCGTTCCTCTGTGTGTTTCCAACCACGAGCATTCTGCCAAACCTGCAACTGAGGGCCAAACCGGACAGGTGTGCTACCTGCTTATCCAGCGTGTCCTCTCAAAGTTGAGGGGTTCAAGGTTGATGAGCTTCAGAGTGATGAAGCGCTCGCAACGTTCTAGCCCTTTTTGTTTTGCTTTCGCCACCTGCCTTGCCCCGAAGACGGACGGCTGTAGGGTGCAAGGTTCAGGGTCTTGGTGGCTGTGCTGGCATCTACGGGCAGGTTTTGGGCTTGCAGGGGCAGGAACAAATTCACGACTTTGTCACAAGAACAGCCAGTACCGTGCTGCGCCCGATCTACAAATTCAAGCACGTCAGTCGCTTGGAGTATATTTGCACCATGTTGCACAGGCTGTAACTGAACTCCTTGAGAGCCGGGTCCAGACGGATTCCCATCGCCCGGAGAAGCTTGTAAACCGAGCTCCTGCGCACCACAACCGCATCCTCTCTCGCAACGGCTCATGTGTGTTATTCCTTTGACAGAGCAGCGGCAAAGGCTACACATTCCCGTGCCAAGCACCGACTGTGAACTCGGCCCACCCGTCCTGCTAATGCTCCTTAGGTCAGCCATGATCCGAGATGAAAGGTTGGCAGGGTGGCAGGATGGCCAAATGCACAACTGGCAACTGGTGCGGTGCAGTGGCTTTTTGGTCAGCCGATTGTTGGGATTCTCAGCTTCCCCAGGTGGCAACTCTTCAGCCCAATAAGACGTAAAGATATCGAGGAACTCAGTCACCTGAGGTTGGAAGCAATCGTAGCCCAGGTAGGTGAGCACAAACTCTCCCTGCACATGCCTCGCTCATGCTGAAGTCGGCCTCTTCCGCAACCTGCACGCAGCTGAGAGGGGAGGCAATCTCAGAATCACTTGTCAGGATAATTATTTTTTTGCCGCCCGGGAATTAATGACTATTGTGACTATTGCAACTCGATTGCTGGGCAAGCACTACAAGGCCCTAAGCATGATCTTGTGACAGCAGAGCCCCCGAGCTTATTCGCCTTGCATCGCATCCAGTGCACGTCTTGCTAACTCAGGGCATCAGAGGCCGCCTGCGTGAGCGCTGCTTCGGCTTCTCTCTCGTGGTTCACGAAAAGCGCCTGAAGCCTCGAGTGGGCTAGGGCCATCATGACGCAAGCACATCAAGTCGAGTATCATGTTCTTCTGTATCGTATTCCACAAGCAGCAAACAAAGTAAGCTCACACCCATGATCATGTCTCAGACCAGCAACAGCTGGAGGAGGACATAGAAATTCACGCTCCCATTGTCATTTCGGCTGTCCTTGGTAGCTTTGCGCAGGACATGTCTAGCTCAATTGGTCTTCAAAGCATGGTGTTCTCACAAAGTGTGTCCAGAAGACTTTCTTGCAGATGCTGGGCCTCAACATGGACCTTGTGTGAGGTAGGTTTTTGGAGCTTAGGCGCAACTCCGGCAGCTTCAGCGATGCTCCGGGCCTGGGGAAAACAATCGTTTCTTTACAACAGCTCCAGTTCTCGAGACCCCTGCCTGCTGCAAGAGGCCTTTGAGGTCTTGCTGCTCCTCCACGGTCCGGACATGAAAACCTTCGACAGGACAGCAGCGCGCAGCACGAGTCCACCCAGCCTCAACACCTGAAAACATGATGTCAAGAGCATGTATCGGACCCCGGCCTAGAGCGGCCAAGAGATTGGTGCATTCTTCCGTGCTCAGCACTCCAGCTTTCTTGGTGTCGTAGCTGAGGAAGAGCCCCTCAGTCGACAGGTTCCCTCCAAGCCCCCGTGACATGGTCATTCTGGCAGCTGGGGTTCCCAGAAATGATCGATGTCCCGGTCCTGAGTCAGTGTTGCGAACGCAAGATGGGCTGATCTGTGCAATTGTCGCTCCACTGGCATTTGCATGCTTTCGATGAGCAAGCGAGTAGTTATCTAGACACGAGGACCAAAGTTCATTCGTGCTTGTCGCATCCTCACTCCTACCATCTTCGCACGCTGACAAGACCAGGGCATGATGTCAAAGCCACCCTATGGCAATAGACGCTGCAACCAAGCATCGCAGAAGCCCGCGCGCTTTCTATCAGCAGCCACCTGTGCTTCCCGGATCTTGTCGCAAAGGGTGACGAAACCTCAGGCACGATCATTCACCATTGCAGAACCTCACAGCTTGCTTCTTCGGCAATGATCCGACATTGCACCTGCCTCCAGTTGCCTCCCTGTTGCACCCATCACCCAAACACTCCAAATGTCAAACGACCCTCATTCCGCCTGGGACTGGGATTCAGCAATTCAGACTTGAGGCCCAGCAATGTGCAACAAGCCCAGGTTTCGCTTCAAATCCCACATGCTTCCACACTTTCGGCAAAACGCGACGGTCCAAGATCGGCCTGCACTACGTAGCTGAGGGCCGCACCATCAAAATCCAGTGCCACACGTGGCAAAAATGGCTCGACCGAGATTCGCCGGTCCTGCCACAACGATGTGACGAGCTTGTGTTTGTCATTGATGCTCCCGTCTCTTTGACCCCATTGTGGGATGCCCACTGCAGGCACGGACCATGGTGGCGCAAACTATCCAAACTTTGCTTCCGCAACTTGCTTGCCGGGCAAAGGTCCGCACCGATATCCTGATGCTATGCCAGGCCTCTGTGGCATATTCCAGCTTGGCCACGGCAAACGGAATACGGTCCGCGCTCAGCATGCCAGTACCTGCAGAAGCCAGTGATGTGCGTCACAACAGCATCAACTAAGAGGCCAAGGTCCGAGCACAAACATGGAACATCCAACTTGAGTTGGACTCTCTTTCAACAACAAGAGGAGCACAAACACATATGCTACAAATAAACATACAATGCACTTATCCACCTCCTTCATGCAGTAACAGCACTGCTTAAGAAGACATTGGTTCAAGCAGTGGGTG